CGCCTGCAGAGTGCGACGTCTGGTTCTGTTTAAGCATGTGTTCATGCTGCACTTAATTCATTTGGTCCTTCCTCTCTGTCTCCACAGATGCACCACCCAATTCAGATGAAACCTGCAGACAGTGAGAAATCTAACGGTGAGTGGGCCCACACACACACACACACACACACACACACATGCATCAATAGCCTGTTTGAATCTGCTTGGTAATCGCTCTCTCACTTTGTGTTTGCTCACTGCCTGACTGGCAGACGGTACAAGCGTCTCGGGGGGGAAAAGATTGAGCGAGAGACATCGAGAAGAACACAGAAAGAGAGAGAGAGCGAGAGAGATGGGAGGGAAGCATTAATATATAGAAGTGTATCTTTATACGTGTGATGAATTATTAAGGTATGCGGGAAAGGAGGTCAGTGAGAGTTGAATCGTTTTGGCCTCTCGGTGAACTCGTCTGTCTCCCCCGGTGGCTGCTCGCTCGCTCGCTCAAACAAACACCGTCGTATGCACACTCTTCCCCGCTCTACACACACTCGCTTTTATGCATCTTTCACACACACACTAACACACACCAGCGCTGTCACACACTCTGTCCTCGCACCACCCTGTCTTCAAACTACATACTGCAGATCCACTCCTAAATTGATTTCCTATAGCGAGCCCTCTTCCTACATCCTGTCCTCGCTGGAAAAGAGGACACAGAGGACACAGAGGACGCGCCGCGCCGCCTGTAAACGATGAGTCAGCCTGTTTTTTTGTTTTTTTTATATATATTCCTCTGATCTGCAACAAATCTCATAAAAAAGAGGACACCAACAATGTGTTAGTCTGACTATAAATACTTCAGGACTTCCCCCCTCCCTGTCCGTGGCTCTCCGCCCCCGAGCCCTGTGGTTCCCACCGAGGACTTAAATCTTTAAAGACGTCTCATAAATAAAACGTTATATTGGTTTAGACGTTTTTGTTTTTTTAAAGCATCTCATGCTCTGTCAAGTAAATCAGGGGTGTAAGATCAGGAGCAATCTTGATTAAATTTGATTGCTTTGAAGTGTGCATGACCTTTTAATCATGCAGGAGGAACCACAGGGAGCTGTGTTGGTAAAGGGGCATTTCACTGTTTTTCAAACCTGGGGCCCTTTAGTTTTTACAGCGTTGTACATATCCGGGGGTCTGAATGTCTTATAGGTGCTCAAAGTTTGGATTGTGTCATTCTGCAGCTTTTAAACAGTCTGTAATGTAAGGCTCTTTGTCCACCTGGTGTTTTTTTCCTGAGCATCAGCATCCACTTTCTTTTTTCCGAGAGCTCATCCTTATTTGTGCAGCCGCTCCGAGCGCTTCAAGTGGAAAGTCTTTCAAAATTTTTCAGAAAGGCGCTCTTGACGTCACCGGCTGGATGATATTCCCTGTATTCTTGTGTCTTGATCGTGTCTTGTACCCACAATCCTCTTTGCTCCGTGTCTGCCGGGGTAAAAATGATCTCAAATATAAAAAGTATTCAGCAGTCAAAAAAAAGCAAAGGAGCGCTGTCGGTCATACAGCAGCTGTTGTCAACAGACTGTTGTCATAGAGACAGGACGGACGTGCAGCGCAAGACTTTTTTCTTTACTTTTTACTTTTGAGACTCATTGAATGAAAGCAGGTTCACATATGTCATTTTGTAGAAGTAAACCCTGACTTTTGATCAACATAGAGGACATTTAAATTGGTCTAAAGGGTAAAAGTCTTGTGTTTGTGCGACCTCCTCCTTCGCTCTCGATATCAGAACCACAGCAGTTACAGTCAGCGCTGTAAGGTAGATTAAAATAAAGGTCATTTTAGTTTAAGCTGCTTTACAACCTTTTTTTTGGAGGAGGATTTTTCTCTGTAAATTCTGCTAAAGTTGGTGATATCTTTCTCCATCTTTTTTTCATCTCTGGGAGAAAGTTTCAAGACGAATTCTTCTTCCTGATGATTCTGCAGTCGCTCAAAAGTGTAAAAAAAAAAAAAAATCTTCATGTTGAAAACACTTGAGCAACATGTCTTCCCTGCTGACAGTTTTTCACTTTTGGAGGAAAAGAAATCGGAGCATTCTGGCAAATCGAACAGAAATTATTTGCATGGCTAAGTGGGAAAATGTGTGGTTTTTTGCAATTTGAGTGAACTGACCCTCAAAGATGAGTAATTGAGCAGAATATTGAAACCATGATTGGATGAAGTGACCATTTAAATCCCAGTTGTAGTGAAAACTGAATATCATGAAAAGCTGCTTCTCTGATGATTAACATTTTTTTTAAAAAAGAGAAGGCTGCTATAACTTCAAATCGCAGTTTGTGATGATGGAGCAGCGTTATCATCCAGCTGCTAAATCACTGCCCACTGCTGGGGGAATACAATAAAATGACAGGGGGGGAGAAATCCTTATAAAAGCCATCATCCTGCTCTGTTGAAATATAGCGGAATACGACTTTATAAGACATAACCGTCAGGGTAACGACGGTGGAACTTAATAAAGCAAGCCGCTCCTCACAGGCGGGATGGTGAAATATGGAGCAGGACCACACGTTTTCGTATCAATCCACTTAATGGTAATGACCTTTAATAAACCCGATGTTAGAGTCGCTGTTACAGTGACGAATGGCCTGCTCGGAGGTTTAGTCGGCGAAGGAGGCGGCGGACAGAGAAGGAAACCAGACGGAGACGTACAGTATGAAATGAAGAGAGAACATTATTTCTCTTTACTCAACTCTTGTGTGATTCCTTTTTTTTTTTTTTTTTTTGGCATTTTCTTTGTGTGCCAGAAAAAAAAAAACTCAGCATGAAGCCAATTCGGCTCCAATTTATCCCAGAATGCAACGCTGCAGCTTTATGAGTCTTATCAACCCCTCACACCCCCCCCCCTCCTCCCCCTCTCCGCCCGCCTGCTTGCACCGCCTCGTCCGAGAAAACAGAAACAGTCAATTGTAACGATATCTCCTCTCTTTCTTTTCTATCGACACCGAGTAAATTAATTACATTGCTGTTAGACTTGTGGTAATCTTCCACTGGAGTGATGCTCTCACACACACACACACACACACACACACATTCACGCTGTGTACAAAGGAGTTAAAGCTTTTTGAGACAACACTTATCTTGGCAGCGTATCCCGACGGTTTGTTTTTTAAACACACAAACAATTCAAACAGCAAAATAAACAAGTGCGCTATTGATTTCCCAGAGTGCAACAGACCGCTTATCTCTTTCGCCTCGCAGTAAGAGCTGACAGTTTCCTCATTAAAAATGAATTGGATTAGCATTACATTGAATGTGGTGGGAACGCGTAAACACACACAGACACACTTATTGTTTAGGAAAGGGGTGGTGAGGGTTTTTTTCGCTCTCAGTCTTAACCTCGCTAGTTTCTCACCGATACCCTCCCCTCACACACGTTCCTCAAGATTGCACCCGAGAAGGAGGGATTGTGTCAGCGACGGAGGAAGACGAGGGAATCCATGAGGGAGAAGGGGAGGAGGATGGAGGAGGAAGAGGAGGAGAGGTGAAGGGAGGATGAGGGTGAGAGAGGGACAAGCTGGAGAGTCTCAGCGAGCAGTCGGCGTTGAAGTGATAATGAGACATTGATCAGAGCCGCGCAGATGGCATGATGAAATACATGAACTCTTGTCTGTCTTCATCTCTCTCCCTCTGTCGTCTTCTTTCTTTCCGACACGCTTTCTTTGTCTGTTTCTTTTGTTTGGTGTTTTTGTTTGTGTCTCGTTTCATTTCTCAACATTTCTGGATTTTAACTTTTTTTTTTTTTTCTGTCTTTTTTCTTTTCTTTTATTCTCTTTGATTGAACCAATCTGTTGTTTTACAAAAAAATAATAAATGTCAGTGCAGTGGGAATCTTGGTCTCTAGCAACATCTCAAAAAATGAATGAACAGCTAAAGAAATTGGTCACTTCAAAGATACAATATGAAGAATGTTATTCAAATGTTTACAAAGTTTCAAAAAGTTATCAAAGCCCGACAAAAACGTTAATTTAAAGTTGAAACTGGTCGTGTCTTGTTGTAGTGGCCGCCATGTCAGACACAACAGTTTATCGTTGCCATGGCAACACCGGCTGTTGCGTAAAATACAGCTACATAAGTAAGCGGGAGCTGCTACTGAAAGCTGCTGTACTGTTGCTGTATGTGACGCTGTGATAAAATGTAAATTTACTCGGATTCATTAGCTCGTCGGTAAACTTATTCTCTTCCTCAGGTCGGTTTCGCCCGTTCGTCCTGACAGTAATCATCTCATAGTTCGTTTTCATTGGGGTGGTATCCAAGAGAATCACTCCCATGATTACCCACCAGCTTCTTTTGTTATTACTTTAATTTAAATCTCCCTGGTGGCGGAATTTGCATACTGTGCATTTAAGTTACCGTTTTTGTTTTATAAGACCAAACATGAGGTCTTTACATTCGTTCAATCTGCTGAAACTAAAAAAAAAAGGAAGCTGTGTCTATATCTTGATATTTGTCCTGTAATTTTCTAACTCTTCTAATATTTCTTGAGATGATTAATTGCTGATTTTTCATGGCCTTGATATGGCTGTGGAAGCTCGGACTGGAGTCTATTAAATCACCAAGATATCTTAATTTGGCTCTTATCTTAATTACTTTGGAAACAAGCCAAGCAGTAACTTTAATTCTGTCCTCTTTGCTGCCAGATATAACAATTTCTGTCTTGTCTTTCTTTATTGAAGATAATTCAACCTCATCCATCCATTTATTTGCTATAAGCATTGATACAGTGATTTTAAAAATAGTCAGTTGGTGAACTAGCTAAGTAAAGCGAAGTGTCGTCTGCGTAGAGTGATAAACAATGATGAAGAAATGCAACAAATACTTGTAAAAACAGCAGTAAAAGTCATCTTTAAAAGTGCTAAGAAGTCACACTGTTTCTCTTCCCTTATTCTTGGCTCTGCAGCGGTGGAAGACAGGAAGTTGTTCATCGGCATGGTGTCAAAGAAGTGCAACGAGAACGACATCCGGGTCATGTTCTCTGCGTTCGGACAGATCGAGGAGTGCCGGATCCTCAGAGGGCCTGACGGACTCAGCAGAGGTGGGTGTTGCTTTTGACTCACTCCCATCCACACTTAATGCTCCTCATGTGAATATTTTTTTTTACCAGGGCAGCCTCCAGGAGTTGTTGCTGTTCATTGTGTCCACTTGTGTTGTGACTCAAACTCTATTTCCCGTAGGAAGTCTTAACTTTGTTTTTGTGTTGCAAAGGTTGGCTGGTTGAAAAATAGCTTCTGAGCAAATGGCAGTGTCGAACATTATAGGCAACTTTTTTCTTTTAAGTGTCTTAAAACTGATAGAATGGACTTATTGTTTTTAGCATTTATGCATCTGATAAAACGACGACTTCATCCGTTTATTGCCATCATCAAACGGTCATAAAAAACTACTATATAAACTTATTGGTCCAAGCACTCTGGTAAAACTGTTCACAGGGATTTTAAACTTACTTTTTACTGCTTTTTCTGCAGCTCACATTAATATTTTCAGCTCTTAATTCATAAAAACACATTACTTGCTTTCAGTTGTGATGATTAGTGTTGTCCTGGAGCAGGAAACATCAAAACCTTTAAAGATATAAACTTCAAGAGAATATGTGGATTTAGCTGTTTTACTTCTTGTGAAATCTCTTCCCTGTTTTCTTTAAATAGTCTATTAATGTTGTAAACAAAGAACAATATAGTTATGCCATTCCAGAAAGTCACTAGAGTTCTAAATGTTTGCAAAGACTTGACCCAGAATCATGGCAGACTTCCCATTGGACAGTGACCCAATGTGGGCTTCGTACAGGTATAGCAAGGAGTAGAAAGGTAATCAGGACCAAGGTGCTTATAGTGACCCACTTCCACTTGACAGCACTAACAGCCAATTTGTACACGTGTAAGCTTGTTTCTCTCTGAATCAAAGTGATCTTTAATCATTCATGGTCACTGGGTTGGATGTGGGACCAGAGTCCCTTTGAGTCAGGGCATTGTGGGTTGTCCCAGAATCTGCATTAGCTGGCTGTAACACACTCCAGATGATAAAACAACCCAGTCTCCTTCCTGGCATTTCATGGACTAGTCTTGAAATAATTGTGTACATGGATATGTATTCTCCCTTTTTTATTGTCAGCATGACTCCCTTTATGTGGTGGTGGCAAGAATGAGGAGACAGATAAAGATTTATTTTCTCAATGACCTCCAATTTTGTGAATGAAAATCCTGTGTACACCCGGGCAGACTGTGTATTTTTAAAATATGCCATGGCCCTCTTTGTGTGAAACATACATCCTATTGAAATCTATCAGTCTGAAATTGCTTCTGACTGGCTCCAAAATAAATGGGAAAACATATCCAAGTGCTTTATTCTAGATATATTTATGACTATTTTGCTAAATTCAATGTGCATTGGTTGGACAAAACATTCAACTGTTGGGGTTTTGTATTCTCCTGCGTGTCTAGTAAAGGCAGTGGGTCAGATTCTGTTTTCAACCAGCTGCTTCTTTGAAACCAGTTAAGATTTCCTTCGAGGTTGTGAAAGAGTCATATTGAGAAGTGAATACAGATGAACTGGAGCGACATCTTGAGGCTGTTGTGGTCACTGTGAATACATGCTTGCGCTCTATATATCCCTCTCTCTCTCTCTCTCTTTTTTCTCCCCCTCTTGCTCTCTCAGCCTCAGCCTCAGATCACCCACCCAATCCCCCCACCTCCTCCTCTGACCTTCTAACCTCCATTCATATCCTTCACCTTCCCTGCCATTCCGGTTCAGCCTCACTGTAAGCCGGTCCTGAGCTCTTTGATGCTTTCATGGCGAGGCCTGCAGGCATTTTTGAAAAACTGTTGAATTTGCAGTTTGCATTGGGTTGGTTATATTTGACAAAAAAAGAACCTCAAAACCGAATTGTTGCAGCTGGTAACCTTCCCAAACTGTAAAGTCAAAAACAAAACAAAAGAGAAAGATGAATGAGTGGTACTCTTGTCATTCATGGGTTTTAAAGCCATCAGTTAATCTGCATACCTTGGTTGGCACGGTGACCAAAAACTAAATTTTTCCATTTACTAAAAGGCACCAAAGTTGTTAGAAAATATGACAAGTTTGCCTTATTAAAGTCTGAAGAGGGTCATTGTTGCACAAACTGCATGAAAACATATCCTCAGATTGGGCATTGGTGATTAGCTAGTCTGAATAGTTAGTGAGTCTTACGTTCCCAATGGACACAGAGTCCCATGTTGGTCTTGCCCAGTGAAAACAGATTCTGTTTAACAATCTACTCGAGGATTCAGACTTACAGTTTGCTGTGTACAATCAACGGTCAAAGTAGCCTGAAAAACTACCAAACCAATGGAATTTCTTGTTGTCTAACTTTGACTGAAAATTTCTCCAACAAGCTAAGGTCCAGGTTCAAATTCATAGAAATAAGGGATCTTGCTGGACTCATTTTGAATAAGTCTTAGGTGACTTTTGTATAAGAATCAAAAGAAAGGTCAAAAGCCAAGCCTTAAGGGAGTCAAAGGGTGGATCCCTTTACCAGCAGGATTGGGGTTTTGAGGTCTTACGTGAACAATGCAAGCGATTTGAGTGTTGAGCTTTCCTTCCATTTTTGCTCCAGGGTTAAAAATAAACTATCATTTTATGGAACCTAATATCAAAAAATGACAGAATCCAGCATCTACTCCCCAACGAAAACCAGCCACCTCGTCTATCAATCCAGTCTCAGTTATTGTACCTCTATCTGGAGCTCTTTTAGTTTCCAAGGGACCATTCCCATCATCAACCATAACTCCCCAAAAACACACAACCCCTTCATTTCTTCTATCTACCCCCGATACTCCTTCCCTCCCCCCCTCCCCACTCCCCTTTGTGGTTTCTATGTGCTGAGGAGATGGAGGGGCTTTTTGAAACTCTCTGTCCTCCTATTCCTCTTCCTCCTGTCACACGAGCTGTCATTGTCATCGTCACGCAGGTTCAATGTGGATCTGTCTTCACGTACTGTATTATTTTTTTTTTTCCTGTGCTTGTCGGACGTTATGGATGTTTTTTATTGTTGACTTCAGTCTTATTTTCTCTATGTGTCTTCTCTCTCTTTATCCCCAAGGTTGTTGTCTCTATGTAGAACCCAGTCTTTGCCTCTAACTAAACTACTTAAAGTCACATCTTCCTCAGTGTCTTCAAACAGAACCGCCCCTCCCGTCTCATCTATTTCCTCTCTATCTATTCATCCTCACTGTCCCAGAATCCTCTCCTGCACAATTTGTCCTCCTTTTTCCCCAGACAACCCACATTGGCCTCCTTCTTCTCCCCTCCCAGTTTTCCTTCTCCCATCTCCTCTCTTTTGTCCTCATGAATATTTCAAATGCGATGTCTAAACCCTCGTTTTTCGGTAGAACTGATATAAACCACTTAGCGACTGGCTAAAGTCAAAGAGGCAGTGCGAGTAGTCCAGTTTGGCGTATAGGTGGTTGATAAACAGTCCTAACCAGGTTTGGAAATAAAATAGGTCTTAAAGGATTTCTACTTCCACTGTGAGTCCCAGAGGCCCTCGGTCCCACCTAGCTGCTCTGCTGAGCTCTTATTAAATCGTGGTATCAATCAGAAGAGAGCTCCACCATGCCGCTATTAATAAAATATGGATCACACCACCAGTGGATGGCTGGGCCTTGGGAGCTACCCTACTTTCATTAAAGGACTGTTTGGTTCTCCGCTGACGACAGAATGCGGCCCGGGAGGTATTTTTAGTGCTCAAGCCATCCTTCTGCCATGCAAAATGAGACATGCACCAACCAGCCAGAAAGCACGACTTCTCAAGTGTTTTTTTTCTTCATTAACAGCTTTGACATTAATGAATCAACGTGGAAGGATTCTGTTTTTAGAAAGCCTTAATAACTGGATCACGCTGCAGAAAGCAGCTAAAGATAGAAACCTTAGTCTGCCAATTGGAGACAAACCCAGGAGTTTCCATTAGATGACAACCAATGACGTTGTAGCTTTTTATAAATAGAGTCAGGACCGATCAGGACCAGTCTGGAGGGTTAACCCAAATGGAAGCCCAACTGGTCCAGTTCTGGGGCAGTGCTCTCTGCAGAGGATGGGGCAACAACCTCTGAGAAACCCAGCAGTGAGATGACAGATTGTGGCCCTTTCTGAAATAGATAGTCCCCCTGAATATGTTTGAAAAAAAATGACCTCTTTTTGAATGTCCTATCTACAGTAGCGGCAGTGAGCGCAGCAGCACGGCACTGGAAAGGACACATTGCAGTGTTTACTAGGTCACTGCTGCAAGAATCTCATAACCCTGAGTTTTATTTTTTATCATCTTCTTTCCTTTTTTTAATGTGAAGTCAGCGAGGGAAGTCATGAGGGTTTTAGCTCCAGTAACCTCCAGCTCTCAAAGACATGAAGGCGTAAAGTTTGAATCTGTTTCATACTGATCAAAGAAATGATGTTGAGATAGAATAGAGTTTAAATACTGAAGTATAGAGAGAAGGTAAAAAAGTATTTTTCAAATCTGAAACACGATCTGATGCTTCTGACTTTTTTCTTTTGTTCTAAACATTGAGTAATTATTTTAACATATACAATGATGTGTTCTGTATACTCAACAAAGCAGAACATTTCATATGTTTGAAAGGAAGATAAAAGGACCAGTGCTACCAAACAAACGTTACCTCATGCGTCTGAATTCTACAATTCACTTAGCAGACGCTTTTATCCAAAGTGACGTACATCAGAGAGTAAGAACAACACAAGCAAGGATCTAGAAAAAAGGGAACAATGTCAGTAAGAGCAAACGATCAGCTTTGAGTCTGATTGGACACACAGGTGCTGACAGGAAGTGACCAGAGGCAAAGCACAACATTGAGGGCAGTTCTTGAGAGCTCTAATCAGTATAGAAACCATCTTATAAGTCATCGTTATCAAACAAAAACCATCGTCATTACCATCATCATCATCAATAATATGGAGACCATCATCATTAAGTTAGTAGGTATTCATGAAAGAGCTGGGTCTTTAGCTTTTTCTTAAAGGTGCAGAGGGACTCTGCAGATCACATGGAGTTTGGAAGTTCATTCCACCACCGGGGGCGACAGAGGAGAAGAGTCTAGTCAGCGTCTTAGGACCCTGTTGTGAAGGTTGGATCAGACTCCTTTCATTGGCAGAGCGTAGTGGGGGGGAGTGTAGACCTGATGAGAGAGTTAAAGTAAGGAGGAGCCATTTTTTGAGATGCCATTACCAAAGGCCGTGTTTTTCCAACTCAAAGTTTGGTGAAGGATGGGAACCAAAGTGTTAACCCAACCATACAACGTCTTCCTTGCAACAAAGTCATGCTTCATCCACCTTGGCTTTTGGACAGAAAGCGTATTTGCAGGGTCTTATTGCCAATGCTGCCAGTGAGGTCGGGTTTTAAATTCTTGACCATCATAGAGTCTCAAATCCACCTGCAAATTAAATATGGTTTGATATACTGTCGGTAGTGTCAACATTTTACAAGCTTGTTGTGACAAAAACTGTCTGTCAAAATGATTTTTCCTCTACTAAATTAAAGCACCTCCTCAAAAAAAAAAAGAGAAATGCCCCGTGGTTGTCAGGGAGAAGCCTCTTGTCTGAAATCTGTGTCGCTAGGATGTAAGCGAGGGAAAAACCGACTACCCGTCGCTCTCAGCCTCGTTCTATCACAGCGACAGCCGGCGTTTGATAGAGGTGGAAGAGGACAATGATCGCATCTATTCCTCAACACATCTTCCTCTCTCTCTCTCTCTCTCTCTCTGTCTCTGTTGCATTATCCTTCCTCACACTTTCTCCTCTCCCCTCCCCCCATCCCATCCAAAACAGCCAGGCAGAGTCTATTTGATGACCAAGGCTATTTCCCTCTATCGCCAAGCCACGAGTCAGCCAGCCCAACCTGAACATGTGTGTGTGTGTGTGTGTGTTTGTGTGTAATCAGTTCAGGCCTGGCTGCCCTAACATGGCTTGGTGAGTGTGTTAGTATATTATTAGTCCAGGGGGTTGTTGAAGCACTTCTCACATTATCTCCTCTAATCGCTCCCTAACCACCCAGACAAACACAACCTTGCATCACCCCCAAACCAATTACAAGAAAAATAAAAAAAATAAAACCCCGCCCCCCCAGCTGATCTTGATTGGCTAAAACAGAAAGCGTCAATCACAGAGGAGGTCTAACCACACCTCTTCTCATCATTTTCAAATTAATATGATTTTTTTTTTATCTGATTCCCGTCTTTTTTTTTTTTTAAAGCCCCCGCAGATATTTTGTCCCAGCTCGCCACCCTCCCCCCAATGGAGCCAATTCTCTCTCGTCTTTGACAAAGAGAGAAAGAGGGCAACCTAATCAGACGCCCCAATAAATGAATTCAAATGGATTTCATGCAAATTTGGGACCAATCTACATTGTTGGATTGTTGAGAAGCAGGATTCAGGTAGGACTAATTTGGTCGATGACAGAAAGGGAGGGGAAGGCTTCAACGGCCAATCAAAACGCCCCCCCCCTCCCCCCCCCTCCCCCGCCTGTGTCTGTGGTTGTCTGTGGATGAAGGGGGGGACAGGTGTTGGGACATGGGGTTTCAGGTTGTGGTTGTCATGACACTGTGTTGTTTCCACAGCGACTGAGAACACTGTTGTCCGCCTGTGAGCTGTTCTCTGTATCAATCTCTGTTTGGGTTTTTTTTATAACAACGACGTGTCCAACCCTTTTGTCTTGTTTTTGTTCTTTCTTGTCTTCCCTTCCTCCTCCTCCTGCCCTTCTTCCCTCCCCTCCTTTCCTCCCTCCCTTCCACTGTCCCTCCATCCCTCCCTCCTCCCTTACAGGATGTGCGTTTGTCACGTTTTCCACCAGAGCTATGGCACAGAATGCAATCAAAGCCATGCACCAGTCTCAGACTATGGAGGTACTGTACTCTCGCCCTTTCTTTCTACTCTCTCTCTCTTTGTCTCTTTTTAAAACATTCACTTCACTCCTTTAATACACTGCCAGTTGAATATGTCGGCTCCCAAAAGCCCCTGAGTCACCTCTCTGTAAAAGTCAATACTCTGACTGTACTTCTCAGGCTTGGCTGGAGAACATTTTCATCACACTTTCTGCATGGTTTGCTTTGAAATTGAATGATGTTAAATTAATGGGAAGTCTCCTGCGGCACTTATCCAGACAGATTTAATGATTGCTTTTCACTGTTACGAGTGGTTTTATATACTGTATGTATAACACAAATATAATAAAAACACCTGCAGAAAGCCGACTGAATACAGTGAATTAGATGAAGATTTTATCCGATCAGATATTGGTCTCAATGAGAAGAATAAAAATAGAGCTCATCTCGGTCCATGCTTGTACAGTTATCTGAGTTAAATTGACAGTAGTGCAATAATCTGTTAAGTAAATAGTGAAATAAACATATTTATTGGATAATCTTTAAAAGTCATTTTTCTTCATCAAGCCTAAAAAATAAAATTTTTCTTCAACGTTTTTAAAACCTTAAAATATGCAAAATTCTCGGGCTAACTTACAATTTTGTCATTTTCATCAGATTTAGCAGCTTTAAAGGCTTTATATGAGATTTTTTTGATCCAGCAGATGTCGCCCTTGAGCACCAGCATGAAACCAAAACAACTCACGCTGCATTGTTGTGTTAGCATGCTAATGCTAGCGATCTTTATCATGCTGGTATCTTCACACTGCATGTAAATTTACCTGAAATGAGCGTGATCTAGAAACACAGTTAAGCAGTGAGTACAGTATGTTATTCTTCTTTTCTCTAGTCCCTCAATTAAACAACTTTTATACACGAGGGGAGGAGTCAGCCGGCCGTCCGGGCGATGTAAACAAAGTGAAGATAGGACTCTGAAAACTCTGAAAACATCACAGACAGTGGGACTCGGGTGTTACACCCATTGTAGACAGTCATGACTCACAGAGTTATTTTCAGAGGAGATACTTGATTTATATATTTAAGAGTGAAAAATCACATAGAAAGACTTTGATAAGATTTTTATATTTTGTTGTTGTTCAGCTCCACAAATATCAGCCCTGAAGTCTCTTGACTTGTCATGAAATCAATCATTTTTTTCCCGTCACACATTTTCCAACTCGTACAAACTTTTTTGGCCGAGTCTCAAAAGTATGACAAAAACACACCTGCACCTTTTGACCCCTCGGGCCACGACGGGCAGGTGTTGTCTCAGACCTCATCAGCTGCACGGCGACCCCGGCTGTGCCATAATGTGCGACCCCGGCTGCAGCTCCTTTGTGCTCCCCTTCAGGTTTTTTTTTTTTTTCTCAGGGAGCGGGTTGTCAACATTGTCAGACCGGGAGACAAGGGCAGGATGACAGGGCTGTGATTGGGAGAGAATTACACGGTGTAAGATAAGCATGTGTGTGTGTGTGTGTGTGAGAGAGAGGAGAGTCGGGGAGACAAAAAGTGTAATAACAGGCTGTGTTGAAGAAGAAGAAAAAAGACGAGTGGTGTCACCCCCGTGGCCCCCTCATTAGAGCTGATCATGATAATCACGGCTGCTATTGATGTGCTGTGACCCTGACATGAGGAGAACACACGCTCCTCCCTCTGCTGTGTGTGTGTGTGTGCGAGTGTGTGTAGGGATATTCTGTTTTTGTTGTCACACTGCGAGTATCAGAGAAGTTGATTTATGCGGCAGCAGCAGAGGGAGCGCCACTCTCCTTCGACAGCGTTAGCATTAAGCTCAAATTATCCTCGCTCTGAGCACCCGTCCAACACAATGGGGCCCGGTAAACACTGCCGGGGTCTTTTTGCTTTTATCAGGCGCACAGAATTTAAAAAAAAAAAAAAAAGCCTTAAACCATAACACAACGATATTGCAGTGGACAATAGCAAAATACCTTCATTTCCATTTGTAAAAAACAAGCTGTCTAGCCCCAGGCGGAGCTAAATTGCCGCAACCGTTTGTTAATGTTCCTCAGTTTTGCAATTTAAAAGTAATTACTTTGGGGTCCGTATGAGGGAATGAGGTCTGGTAAATAGAGTTTGGTTATTGTCTTGGCTCTATTGCACCCCACTGTCTTTAGATCGAGCAAGAGTGTGTGTTTTTTTATGTGTGTGTGTGAGTGTGTGTGTGGTTCGGTGTGTCTTTTCATCAGCATGTCACTTAGGAAAAAAAAAAAAAAACCCAAGGAGGCAGCTCGCCGCCGCTGGTTGATGGTCCTGTCACTGTCATATCCATTCTCATTACTGCGTGACATTCAGGTGCACACACACACACACACACACACACACACACACACACACACACACACACACACACAGGCATGCCGGCTGAATGTCAGGCCGTAATGAAAGTGGATATGAGCGCGACAGGTAATTCACTGTCGACCCTCTAAAGACACACAAGCACAGAGAGCGAGCGAGCGAGAGAGAGAGAGCGAGGGAAAGAGAGAGAGAGCGAGCGAGCGAGTGTCGTCATTGTGTTGATTTGTGCTTTACATTGTTCACTGCTTTTATAAACACTCATTTAGCGCTCTGTTTCCTCCTGCGCAGCGTTCCATTAACACTGATTTCTGTTTCCGCCTTTCTCTCTTTTTTTTTTACCTCATGACACACCAGAGGCCCGCTCACATGCTGCCCCCGCCTCTCCACACACACACACACACACACACACACACACACGTAAATGCACACGCGTTTGAGCGCGCATAGACGAGAGTTTAAGTAGAGCATGAGACACAACAGAGCGGTGTGTGTGTGTGTGTGTGTGTGTGTGTGTGTGTGTGTGTGTGTGTGTGTGTGTGTGTGGTGTGTGTGAACAAACACGTCTGTCAAGTGTAGTGAAGAGAGGAGACAGAGAGACCGACAGTGGAGAGACGATCAGATTAGAATTGAGCTCTGATTTCTTCTAAACGCTGGAGGGAGCGTTCAACCGCAGTGTCACAAAATAATGTCCACTAGAGGCTGCTGGCTGCAGAAGCACAGGAAGTCACATACACACTCATTCAAAAAAACAGAAATTAACATG